ACCCGCACCTGAAAATTTCCATATATATATATACTAATTTTTTTTACGCGCTTTGCGCGAATGGAATAATGCCCAATGATTATTTTTAAATAAATATTTCAAAATATATCAATGCAATATTATATCAGAGATGTTCATGCATAGGTAAATAAATATTAAATTTATTTATTTAAATATGTAATTTAAAGTATATAAATGCAAGATAATATATGAGAGATTGATTATATTGTCACTAAAATAAATATCTGCAATTTTGTAATAACGTTAGTCTAAATACTTAGTCTAAAAACGATAGTCTAAATAAATACTACTTTTGGTTTAAATTTATCTAATTCTTCTTAATTCTTTTTTTTTTTTTATTGGTAGTGTGTCATGTGCAATTGGGTTACTGGTGGTAGCATAGATAGATTCATCCTGCAATGAGATTATTGGTGTAGGAAGCTTTAGATTTGCGTTGTTGTGTATATGATGAGATCTTAGTTGTATTATTAACTCTTTATCTTACAAGCACCTATTGATATTTGGTAGTGGTAGTTTTTCCCTACATGTTTCATGCGTTGTGAGATGTGTGTTGTAGGTTATCATGTGAAAATATTGAACAAAATATTAATATTTATTATATTTGTATAAAATACTTGGTAAATACATATATATAACGTATTTTGTATTATAACTTTGATATTTAATTACAAGAAAATGTAAAAAGAAGACAATGGACAACGTAGTGAATATAATAAATTAATAAATTTGATGGTAATGAATCTTTGAATTGTAGAAAATAAAGATAATATAACTAATGAAATTATATTTCTTTTTACATTTTTTATAATGAATATTTTTTTAAATAAAGACATTATAGACATCTAATTCTAAATTAATTAAATGTATATGTATTATTTTTTTTGTTGTAGCTACTAATTTATTTAATTTAATAAGAGTAATAAAGTGGTGTATATACTTTTCATCAACAATAATGAAATCGTTGACTTTTATTTTTAAATTTACATTCGTTGTTGATACAAATTGTTTTGAGAGTTTGTCAATGACAATTGTTACAATTCCTATCAATAGAGGATGATAATAAATAATTCAAAATATATAGTTACAATAGATATTGTTATAATGATATAGTAAAAATTAACTTATAAAGTTCTTTAGAAGTTTTCATGCATTGATAAAATTCTTATGTGTAAACTTGTTCAATTGGAGCCAGTGGGATGTCAACATTGTCAATTCTCTGGAAAATGGTCCTACCGTTTTAGAGTCCATGTGTAATTTTATTTATGATGTCAACTTTGTAGTTTGGTCGCACAGGTCTGACAATGATGTAAGAACAATTTTGTCCGATAAAAAAATAATAGTATAATATTTGTAAAGTAATGTACAATTGTACCATTATAAAAATACATACAAAAAATATTAATACCATAATGACCTAAATCATACCAATAATACAAAAGTATAATTGAAATATTAAGTTTTGTTCTAATCTAAATAATCAAAAGAAGATTAATTAAACGAAAAAAAAAAAAAACTTAACCTAAATTTGTTTTTTTTTTTTTTAAATGCATAAAAATCAAATGAAATCCTAAATATCCCTATTAGTAGGAGGAAGCCCCCGGATGGTTGGTATTGGAATTGGGATGCGAAAGGAGCTTATACGGTTAAATTATGTTATAAGCATCTTACTATGGTGGACTATAATGCAAGACCTTTGTCAAAGATTTGGAATATTCATGCCCCCCCCCCCCCCCCCCCCCCACCCTCTAAGGTGCAATCTTTTTGTTGGCAACTGATTTCAAATTATTTACCTACTAGGGATGCACTCCTTACGAAACATGTGGCATGCTCACTTGTGTGTCATATGTGTAGGGGCGAAGATGAATCTGTGTTGCACATGTTTGTTCACTGCCCTTCTGCTACGGATGCTTGGAGTAGATTGGGTGTGCCAATGTATGCAAATTATGATAATGTTGGTAATTGGTTCTTTGATTGCATTAATGTTTTGAGTGATGAGTTAATTGGCTAAATTTGATGTGGTTTGTTGGGGTATTTGGACTAGTAGGAACGAATTTGTGTGGAAGGGTGTAAACTTTGATCTGAACAATGTGATGCAACGCTCTCTTGTGTTCTTAGTCAATTGGTCGGCAGCAAATGCGCAAGTGACATCCTTAGTGCCGGACTCAACTGCGGTTAGGTGGACGAAGCCAGGTAGGGGAATGCTAAAATTAAATACTGATGCTGCATTTAATAACTCGACATGTGAGATGGGGTTCGGGTGGGTCTTAAGAGATGAGGATGGCCGTTTCCTTGCTGCAAAGAATATGTGTGTGCCAGGAAGTTGCTCTGTACGGGTGGCTGAGGCAATGAGTACTCGTGAGGCCCTTAGTTGGTTGCTGGACATTGGGATGGGAAATGTAGAGGTTGAAATGGACTCTCAAATCGTATTTAATGCTTTACGTTCTTCTTCTTATAATTCTTATTTTGGACTTATAGTGGATGATATTAAGGAATTAGCAACCACGATTGGTGGTGTTGAATTCCGTTTTGTTAAGCGATCTACGAAATGTGCCGCCCACGATTAATCGCACAGTGGGGAGTGGTTTGATACACCCCATCTTTTATTGTAAGTTGTCTTGCCAGTGACTTAATGAATTAATCTCTCCTCCACAAAAAATCAAATGCTTTTTAAGTTCTTGATTTATAATCTTTGATGCTTAACTTTGAATGTTATGTATTTAGTCGGACTAATTATTTGACCAAAATTTATGTTAAATTTTATATTATATATTTTTAATACATTTTAACATATTCGTAGTATATGTTTAACAATTATGCTAACTCTAATTGGGATGAAGTTCGAACCTAAGACCTCCTCTTAAAGAAATTAATGTAAGTTAAAAATAATAAATAGTTAACGGAATATTCCGTTATTAAAGTTTATATTAATGGAATTTAGGTTATTTAAGGGAAGAAAATAATATAATAGATGGTAAATAATGAAAATTATTAAAAAAAAATACTAAAATCAAAATAATATGAACCATTCATTTTAAGAAACAATACTACCAATATTTTTTTGTTCCGTGCCCAACATTATTGGTTCTTATTAAAATTGTAGATAGATATAGAAAATGTTCAATATACTTGTTTGAGACTTTGAGTTACAAAATACCAAAGTTACTCGGTTAATATAACATGCATTTCATTAAACTATTAAGTATATAACTCAATTGGGTTTTAGAGTTTGTTAACACAAACACACGCAAAAATCTTTAATTCATGTGGTTTTAAAGTTTACAGAACTGCCAACTACCATGTAGTGTGATGACATCTCAATTATCATCCAAGTGGATGGTCAAAGGTTCAAACTCTAATCAAACGGATACTATTTTGCAGAAAATCATAAGTATTTAAAAAAAAAAAGTTTACACAACTAATTTTTGCTCAAACTCATTACAAGACGTTTGGTTGGAAGGGGGGAATTACGTGGGAAAGGAATTGCAATTCCATGGGAGATGAATTACTGAGAATAAAGTGAGAATTTAAATTCCAGTGTTTGGTTTACGGGAATAGAATTACTGGGAATTTTAATTCCAATGTTTGGTATACATGGCAATTGAAAGGGAATAAGTAGTATAAAGTCCAAAATGCTAATTATTGTTGTGGTATTAATTTTAGGTTAAAAAAAGGAGGGATAATTTTGTCTCATCACTAGCTTTTTTTCTTCCTAAAATCCTAGGAATTAAAATACCAGGGGGGGGGGGGGGGGGGGGGAGACATGGAATTTTAATTCCATGAAAATGGGGGAATTGCAATTTCATGAAATTGTAATTCCTTCCAACCAAACTAAGGAATTTTATGATCTTTGGAATTAAGTAGGAAGGAAATTTAAAATCCTTCCAACCAAACGCTCTGTTAGAGTTTTGAATATTTGTTACTCCGTATAAAGGCATGCAAACAAATACAATCACAAAGCTAAGTATAATTGAAACTAGTATGACACACGTGCGATGCACGGACTACTTATTAGTAATATTAGTGTCGAATTTTATATGGAACAAAATATCTTTTTATTTAAATTTAAAATTTATATGTTAAAAATATAATTTTATATAAGTTGAATTATTTAATTTAAATATCGACATCTAGATGCAAAACAATTAATACGCAATTACCACATCTGTTCACAATGAAATGCAAAGTATTATAAATTTACACATTATTGAAAACTTAATGGTAAGACTATCTAGATTGTTGACTCGAGAAGTAACAACGTACAACTGACCATCTGGATTGTTGACCCATATAATTTTTTATTTTTTTTTTTGAGAATAATTATTTATAAAGAATGTTCTAACATTTATAGTAGATGTTAGATCTTCATTCTCCGCAATAAAAAAATAAAATATTATATACATATATTTAATATCAAGTATTATGCAAATTTATTTTCCAACATATATTAAAAAGTATTATGCTAATTTATTTATCAAAACATTTATACTTTTACCAACTATTTATCAAACAAATTTATATAATTAGTACATCTAATTATCTAATTATATACATAAACATATTATATTAAAAACATGATTTACTATTTTTTAAATAATATAATTGTATTTTTGTAATATAATAATATATTTTAACTATTATTATTATTATAATGTTCATAATAATAATAATACAAATTTTTTTGACTGAAATGTATAAATATGATAATAATATTATATAATGCATATAATAATAATAATAATAATAATAATAATAATAATAATAATAATAATAATAATAATAATAATAATAATAATAATAATAATAATAATAATAATAATAATAATGCACAACATGGTAATGAAATGAAATTGGGATGTATGATCAGCCCATATATATATATATGGAGACTAAGATTAGTCAATTTTAGCCCAAAAGAAAAATATAGCCCAAGTATAAAAGGCCATTGAACTCGTTTCAGACAACATTTTGCCATTCTTCACCATTTCGCCCTTCAACTTCATGCTCTGAGCTCTCGCATGTTCAAGAACAACCTCACTCTACCCATTTAGAAATCTGCTCATCATCTACTGTTCCACAGATTTAATTTCTGTATGAACAACTATTAATTTGTTTATTCCTCAAGATCAGCATTTGAAGAGCAGAGAAGAACAACTCCTCTACACACCGCCATAGCAGCTTAATGATCGGAGCAAAAAACTTCGAAATTATGGCGATACAGATAGCTTCCGTCAATAAAATGTAAGTTTTGTTTATTTTCTATGGCTAAAAAAACAATTTTAATTCGAAGATCTAAACCCTAACTTTTTGATTTACAGATCTAACTACTACGGACAAAAATCGAACGAATACAGCTCAAGATCTGAGTGTGAAACATCGCTATATGTACATGCAAACCAAGATTTCTGTCAATTAATTCGTCATCCATGGTTGATACAGAGTGGTTCTTAGATCCGGTAAGATTAGAATATTTTCTTGTTAAATTTTCATTTAAGGTTATTAGATAAAAATCCTAACTATTTAATCTATCACTCAATAATTACTTTCATTAAAAAAAATCACAGGAATATAGAAGAAGATCAGGAAAAATGGTATTTTCCCGTACATGCAAACAGTTGGCAAATAGATTGATTTATTCTAGCAGTCACGAAAAAGGACGCGTTAAAGATAAGTAGATCTGAACTATTTTATATATTTTTTAGAATAAAAAAATGCAAAGTTATTATACTATATCTATAAATGTAATTTGTATTCTTAAAAATAAAATTGAAATAAAATAAAGTTGTGTACTGTATCATAATCAGCATAATGAAGATTAAAATTTTTGTAGTTTTTTCTCATGTTAGAAAATAAAAAGACATTTAATATAAAAGATTATGAGAAACTGAATGTTAAGTACCAAAACTACACTGTTAATATGGTTTAATTGATTCGAATTTATATCAAAGCAAGAGGAAATACAATATCAAAAAAGGTAAAATGAATAGAGATGTAGCCCTTACGAAATTTATACACAGTAATAGATTAACTGACCTTTGTTTTCGGATGATACTTTTCTCTTTCTTCCAATAATAGTGGAAGCTCTTAATTTCTTCATAGTTTTGAAGAGTTCTTCTTAAAAGTTTATTATTTTTTAAAACTAAAAAAAAAATACAATACATTTTCATGTTCTCTCACCTTGTATTATAAATTTTAATTTCTTTATACATTTAAAAACAAAAGTAAGTACATTTAACCTGAGGTGATAATATTAATAGGTTTGCTGCAAGCAGATTCTTTTAAAGGAAAAAAGTGGAAGCTTTAACATGAAGGTAAGTGTTCAATAGAACTTATAATTTATTGCATTGTAAATCTCTTGTGTGTTCATGTTCATTACCTCTTTACTTATTTAATATTTTTTGATGTGTTATATTGAATATTTAAAGATGACATGTAATTGAAAGTGTTCTGCATCTGTTATAGAGTGATAGAGTGTGTTCTGTTTACTCCTAAACTTTCATGTTTTTTTTTTGTGGCATTGTTTACTTAAGTTTTTATATTATGATATACTATTCAGCTACTCATCTATTTGAGTAAATACTAACATTTCAAAATAGAAGCAATTTTTTTTTTTTTTTTTTTTTTTGTGTGGTTTTATCAATCTGGTTCATCTATTTGAACAAATACTAACATTCCAAAATAGAGGCAATTGATGGATTTTTTTTTTCTGTTTATTTTTTTCTGGATTTTATCAATCTGGTCTTTAAAATGTTACATGTTTTTTAACTTTTTTTTGAGGTGGCAAAACTGTGTACTTGTAAACTTTTATATATAGATTCAATATGTATGTGAATGTTTTGTTCTGTGTAAGTTAACTGGAAATTTTACCTGGGCATCATAAGTTGATAATTCATGTATTCCTATATTTGACCAAATACTAACACTTAAAAATAGTGGCAAGTGATGATACAGGAATCTGATGCCATTTTTTTTTTTTTTTAATGTAGAAACCTATGACATTCCTTTCTAACTTTCTTCACATTAGAATAGTAATTACATTACATAGAATTTAAGTTCCCTTTTTTCCAGCTCTTATCAATCTGGTTTGTACTGTGCCAAACTGTCTACTTGTAAACTTTTATGTATACCTCCAATATGTATGAGAATGTTTTGCTCTGTCTAGATTAATAGAGTAATTGCAAATATGACTTTATAATCGTAAGTAGCATAGAAGGCTTAGTAGCATAGAAGGCTTAGTACACATTAGAAGGCTTAGTACACTACTAAGAAACATTAACTGCTACTGCTAAAGCTAAGTACATTAGGCTATGCTGCTAATGCAGCTTTCACAAAACTAAGAGCAAATCAGGAAAGTAGAATGGATCTACTTGGTAGCAGTAAATTGCAGCCTATGCACATTTTTAGCCCTAACCAACAAAAACCAAAAACCAAAACCAGCAAAAACTTTTCCAGTAGAACTGACTACTTTCCTTTCTTCACCACCACTTCCTTAGCCTTCTTCGATGTCCCAACATTCTCAAAGTCTTTAAACAAAGACCTCTTGAGAGGAACATCATTAGCATCAACACCTAAACCATCTTCAATCTCATCCAAGCCAGCAAATTTGTCCATAGATAAACCTTGAGACCCATCCTCCACCACAACACAGTCTTCATCATCACTACCATAGAATTCCTAAACGAAATATGATTAGGGACAATAAATAAAACTATTTTTTAAAAATTAACCAAAACATAATTTACAGAAATACCTCTGAACCTGCATCACCATCTGCATCCCCATCCTGAAAACCATTTTCATGAACAGAACCATTTTCTGGTTCTAAACTGGCAACTGAAAGACCTGAGCAGTGCTGTGTAAGCACTGCTTCATCCCTGCAAATCCTTAGGACTGTGAAAGCAGAATAGTAACTCTCTATCTGTTCCTTCTTCATAGCAACACGAAACAACATAGACATATCCCGCAAACAACCTAGCTCAGGTGGAATACACTTATTCCCCTACAAAGATTTAAAGGAAAAACACATGAACATTTAAACTACTATCCTCAATACCCATCTATGTTGTCTAAGTGTTGATACCTACCTCTGGATACTTAGCTTTTAAATCACCAGCTGAAACACCTACCAACTCTGCACACTCACGATCCCATAGAAGCATAGGAGCATCCCAGTTTGATCAGCTACACGTATAATCACCCTATATCTCACAACTCCCTCATGCCAGGAACTTTTACAGCCACCACAGTACATCATACCACCATCAGCAGCAACCTTTCTCCTGCAAGAATTACTCTTGCAAGAGATGTAATGCCAGTCACTTAAACTCTCTACATCCACAATTCGTCCTACCACCCAATACTCCCCTAGCTGCAAGTAATAATTAGGTAAATAAGTAACTTAGCTAAAAAAAGGTAAAGGTGAACTAATGTAAATGGTCTTGAACCTTAGTAAATAAGTAACTTAGCTAGTGACATTGCAGAATACATTACTTGTTTTTTGGAGTATATATCTTGAATAGAAGTAATTAGCACATCATTAGCACGCATAGCACGCCCAAGATAAGTATCAGATAGCCTTGATTCAGAATCTATACACCGTAAAGGTGTATGGTCACTGTTATAGCTACTAACAGAAATCAGGAAAATGTATGTTAGTACAGAAAATTTATATTTCTTTAGAATAACAGTAAAAAGAGGTTAAAGAATCTGACCTGCTCCTTAACTCACGAAACTCTTTGCAAGAGTGTGAGAAAAAAAAGCTGAGTAGCATCAAAGGAGCTGCAGATACGTACTTCACCATCTGCAAAAATGATTTTAGTCAATACAAACCTTGATAAAACTGAGTAGAAACATAGATGTAAATTAACAAAATAAATACATAGCACTCACTGTCCATGAATTTAGGTCGGCACAACTGAATCAAAACAATGACTGGATCATTAGCAGCTGAGTGGAAGTAAGGAGTTACTTGATCCACATGCTCGTCCCACAGTGTACACTTAATTTGCTTCTTACTACAAAAGATTTTAAAAACAGCAGAAAATGGTTAAGATAAAATTATAAAATCAACATTAGTCAAACTTAGGGATTAAAAATAGAGTAAAGAATCATACCAAGAGTCTTCAAGTACAAAGTCAATAAGCCTACTCTTTTTCCCCGCTATTGTCTTCTCCAGTGGTGAATATATCTCCACAATACGACCAATCACATCTGTATTTCAAAACAGCACCATATTAGTATATTAGTTAAATAAAGATTAACATCTCTTTTCTTGTTGTAAACTGACTGCATTTAGAAACAAATAGTTGTAACACTAACCTATCAACACTTTCTCATCAATTCCTTGCTTTGAAAGTATGGCTTCAAAACTTTTGAAGCGAAACATTGTTTTTGGGAAATTAACACGCTTGTACTCCTTCACTAGAGTATCATGTTTGAATTTGATCAGGTATCGGTGACTGCTTGTTTTATATTTGAAGAAATTAGTGATGCATAGAAAGCTTCTAATGGCATACACTTTACCCTCCTTGAATATGTTCTTATACTTTGGAACAATATCCTTAGGTATGTGGACATGGATGAAGACACCCTATATTTAAAACACATCCAAAAATATCAAGGTGAGATATCAGTCAGGTAAAATGGATAAGAAATAACACTACAGAGCATGCTAAGCTATAATTTACAAACCTCTTGGTCATGAAATAGGCATTCCTAACTTCTTATTATTTGTTCATCTTTGATTTCAGTCACAAGATAAGATCGCACACAACGCAATCTTATAGCCTTGGTGCTCTGCTGAGGATGAAGCTGCATCCCAACAATAAACTGCCCATACATTACCACACTGCACTCCAGAAAACTCACCTCAGTACCTTAATCTTCAAATTATGATATTCCTACTTGTAATCTATTTTGCAGAGCTTTGTGTTTGCATATCCAAGCTTAGAATGTGAATGTATTTATAAGAGTAGAAGTAAGCTGAGAAGTGTATAAAATATTTCAATAATTGTACTTTAAGCACTCCCATACCTATTTAGGTTTTTCTACACGCTACCTAAACCAATTAGACTACTAACTCTGTAGTAGGTAGTAGATAATATCCAATAGCCTAAAATCTAGGACTAAAATCACACGTCTCTCATTACAATCAGATCAGGCGGGAGAAGCAAAATTTGAATTATCAATTTGAAAGAAAAAAAAAAAGGAAATGATTTAAACATTCATTGGTCCTTTGGTCCTTTGGGCGGGATTTCCCCCCCAAAAGATTTAGCTTTATTATAGTTACGATGTGCAAATGCTGAAAGTGTAAGCATATAATTTTGAATATTTGTTACTCCGTATAATTGAAATGTGTAAATGCTGAAAGTGTAAGCATATAAATATGTAATGATTTTTATTGTAGTTTGAGGGGTGATATAATCCTCTTAATTCACTCTTCTTCTATTACCAAGGAGGAACTTCACTATTTATTATTTTTGTTACAAACATTAATACAATAGTTATGTAGATGAGAATATATAATTGTGTTGTATTCAATGATAATGTCTGAAAGTACATGGAGCGAATATATAGAGATGCTAGATCGAATCCTAGTCTAACACGAATAATATAGTCCTAGTCTAATACGGATAATAGAAGTCCTAATAGTCTTAATACTCCCACTCAAGCACAAGGTTGGTCAGCCAAAACATTGAGCTTGCAACGGAGTAAATTAAAACGTACAGACGAAAGAGACTTAGTAAAAATATCCGCTATCTGATCTTTGGTAGAAATAAAATTGACTTGTAATTCCTTCTTCGCGACTTTATCACGAACAAAGTGGTAGTCGATCTCAATGTGCTTGGTGCGAGCATGAAACATCGGATTAGCACACAGATAAGTAGCTCCCAGATTGTTACACCAGAGTTTGGGCACAGAAGGTGGCGCAAACCCAATTTCCTTCATCAGAGAGACGAGCCAAGTAACCTCTGCAGAGACATCAGCCAGTCCTTTGTATTCAGCCTCAGTTGATGAACGAGCCACAGTACGTTATTTTCGACAAACCCATGAAACAAGATTGGTCCCCAAAAATACAGCAAAACCACTAGTAGATTTGTGATCATCAGGATTGCCAGCCCAATCCGAATCAGAATATGCATGAATATCTAGAGAAGGAGAAGACGTAATCTTAAGACCAAGATGTAGTGTCCCATTTACATATCGTAACATCCTCTTGAGAGCCGCCCAATCCGCAGTAGGGGGAGAGTGCATGTGTTGACACAAACGACTGACTGCATAGGAAAGATCAGACCGAGTTACCGTAAGATATTGCAGAGCACGTGCAAAGCTGCGATACTGAGTGGGATCAGCGTATGGTACCACAACATCAGTCTCGGCCTTCGTGGTTGAAACCGGAGTAGCCACGGGCTTGCAATCAACCATACCTGCTCGTTTTAGAATATCCTTCATGTACCGTTGTTGACACAGAAGCATGCCATCAGACAACGGAATGGTCTCAATACCAGAAAGAACGAGGGCACACCCATATCACGAACTTTAAACTCAAGAGCCAACTCGTCAATAAGAGCAGTCACATGAGCCGGATCAGATCCCATAACCAAAATATCATCCACATAAACTAGAAAATATAAACGAGTATTGCCATGTGAATATATAAATAGAGAGACATCCGTCTTGGAAGGTGAGAAACCAGCATAAACCAGAAAATCATGCAAACGAGTGAACCAAGCACGGGGAGCTTGCTTAAGCCCATATAAAGAACGTTGAAGGAGACAAACGTGCCTGGACATCGTTTTGTCTTCATAACCAGGGGGCTAGCGTATATAAACCGTCTCAGCGAGATTGCCATTTCGAAAAGCATTGTGTATGTCCAACTGTCGAATAGTCCATCCACGAGAAATAGCTAAGGATAAAAGAAGACGTACCGTAGTCGGTTTAACAACGGGACTAAAGGTCTCAAAGAAATCCTCGCCGGCAATTTGATTGAATCCCTTGGCAGCTAACCGAGCCTTGTAACGCTCAATCGAACCATCAACCTTTCTCTTGGTTCTAAACACCCACTTACATCCAACTACATTCATACCTGATTTAAAGGGAACAAGCCTCCATGTATTGTTGTGCACCAAGGCATTAAATTCCAAATCCATTGCATCCCGCCATTCAGGAAATTTAACCGCTTGAGTAAAACAGGTAGGTTCAGGAGTAACAGCAGCAGCAGATAAAACAACATGATCATGTGGTCCCGAACTTCTCGTATTCATTCCATGAGAGCGAACGGGTGAGGGCGCGTGACGAGACCGACCACGAGGCCGGCCTCTTAGCCGAGGAGCCGGCTGGTCCGTGACTGTCCGCTCGGACTCGGTCACGGGCTCGGCAGTAGCAGGCTGCTGGCGGTGGTGGTCAGAAGCGGCTATGGGCGCGGCAGGAGGGTCACGAGTCGTGACAATAGTCGGATCACCACCAGAAACAATTGGTGCAACACCCCACGGCTCCGGGCGTGGTTTTGGAACCTGCGAATCCACAGAAGCAACAAAAGGAAAGACAGCCTCATCGAATCGCACATGGCGACAGATAAAAACCTTGTCAGTGTTAGTGTCTAAACAACGATAGCCACGAAAAGATGGAGGATATCCTAGAAAGACACAAGGGGATGACCGAAACTGTAGTTTGTTGCGATTATAGGGACGCAAATTTGGAAAGCATAAACACCCAAAAACACGCAGATATGAATAAGATGGAGGAGACCGATGCAAAAGATAATGAGGAGATTTATCAGATAAGACAGGTGTGGGCATTTTATTGATTAGATAAACCGCAGTTTCAAAAGCATAATCCCAAAAATGAGACGGAACAGAGGATTGAGCCATTAATGCTAGTCCCGTTTCAACAACATGCCTATGCTTACGTTCTACCCTGCCATTTTGTTCATGAGTATACGCACATGATTGCCTGTGATGAATACCTAAGGACGCAAGAGTCGAACCAAGCTTTTTATATTCTCCCCCTAAATCAGATTGAAAAGAAATAATCTTGGGAGAAAAGGAACGTTCAACTAGTGACCGAAACTTATCAAATATAGCATACAAATCAGATTTAGCACGCATGGGATAATACCACATATAACGAGTGTAATCATCCACAAAAAACACAAAATATTTAAAGCAAGACGCAGAAAGTAATGGTGCAGGGCCCCAAATATCTGAATAAATTAATTCCAAAGGATGCGTACTAGTAGTTTCGACACGAGACAAAGGAAAACGAGAAGATTTTCCTAATTGACAAGAGGACAGACATTGGAAAGATCACTAGAATTAAATGTACCAACAGACGAAGACGCTAAAATTTTACGTAAGACTCGAGAATGAGGATGCCCCAACCGCATGTGCCAAACGTAAGAGGGCCGTGCAGCAACAAATGCAGCAAGGGAAGCAGAAGACGCAGGCCATGTGTAGAGACCCCCAGACGCATGTCCCTTAAAAAGAACCTTCTTGGTTAAAATGCCTTTCACATAGAAACAAAGAGGGTGGAACTCAAAAAAAACATTATTGTCCTTTGCAAAACGCTGGACAGATAATAGAGAAGAAGAAAGACCAGGGACATGCAAAACATCATGTAACTTAAAAGACATAGAATCAGTGGCTAACGAAGCAGAACCAACATTAACAATAGGCAAACCTGTACCATTGCCGACTCGCAGAGTCTCCGGGCCATCATAACTTGTCGCAGAAGTCATCAAAGAAGAATCAGGCGTTGCATGATTTGTAGCACCAGTGTCAGGGAACCACTGATGAGGACCGTTGGTATCACCATTATCACCAGAGACGGCCACATTAGCCTGAAAACCCGGAGCCCCTGAATAACGTCGAAAACAGTTGGCTCCCGTGTGACCAAAACGGTTACAAATTTGACACGGATCATCATAGCGCCAAAAACAATTGGCTCCCGTGTGACCAAAACGGTCACAAATTTGAAACGGATCATCATAACGCCAAACACAATTGGCTCCCATGTGGCTGAAACCGTTACAAATTTGACACGAATCATCAACGTCATGTCGTTGACCGGACCGCTTCTGATACGATGTATCTTGGTTTGATGCCATCGGCTACTACTACGAAGTCAGGAACATGGATGTTGGAAAAGAAAACCATGGCTAACTGATACTAGATGAGAATATAATTGTGTTGTATTCAATGATAATGTTTGAGAGTACAGGGAGCGAATATATAGAGATGCTAGATAGAATCCTAGTCTAACACGAATAATATAGTCCTAGTCTAATATGGATAATAGAGTCCTAATAGTCATAATAATGTACTCCAACCTAATCACAAAGTCAACTACAAGATTGTTCCTTGCCATCTTTATAGGATTTGATCACAAAATCATTTTACTACTCTCTACCTGCTAACCCCTACACGAGATTTGATCTCAAAACCCTCCCATTGGTCTTGGCTAGTTTCTCCTAGTTGTGATTTCTTCTTCAATAAATTAAAAGGATTTTAACTTTAAGCTCAGTGTCTCTAGAGAGATGATCACAGTTCGGTTTAAATCGTGCACTATTAAAATCGGATCAAAATCAAAACCGTACAAACGGTTCCGGTTCCGATTCCATATATTTGAAACTGGAACCGTCGGATTCGGTTTCAAATCGGAAATAAATAAATAAATAATAAGTTTTAATTATTATTTATTATTTGATTAAAGTTTAATTATTATTTGATTAAATTTTAATTATTATTTGATTAAAGTTTAAACTTTAAATAACATTTTAAAGTTCAACAATAACAAATTTTCAGTGGAGACGTTATTGGTTCTTTGTGTTTCAGTAGGTTGAGAAAGTATATGATGAACAGATACTACATTGTAATAGAGCCAGTAGCATTAAAAAAATAACTTTAAATAGCATTTTAAAGTTCAACAATAACAATTTTTTTAAATGTAATTTAACTTTGAAGTTTAAATATTTCATATAACTATTTTAAAAACATTTTAGAATGAATTTTTTTTTTCAAAAAATAAATTAATTGTTGAATTTGAACAATTTTAAAAATACCAAATAAAATTTACAA